TGAAAATTACAAAAAAAACCACAGTAAAGACTTTGGAACTTATTTATTGTTAGCTACTTGTTGCTAGCCAAGCACATGGCCTGGGCCGCCCAAATAGCTCTAGGGCAGAACAGGCAAGACCTGAGAGAAGAGCTGAGGGGCAGAGCTCCCTGAGTTACCTCACCTGGCTAAGCGAGTTCCCGCAGAAGAGCTGGCCACAGCGTGTCCCTGCAGGTGGCGCCCTTCTCGCCCTAAGGACTTCTCAATTTCCCTGGGCAACGCTTCTTCCTCAGGAAGAGGTGATTTTCCCCCCAGGACAGAGCAATCCATTCTGAAGAAACTCTCTCGTGGTGTGTACAAAACCCCATGTCCCTTCAGCAATTTGGCTAATCCATTAGTGCAGAGAGTACAGGGTCTAAGGACCCCAAGGGGGTATTGTGCAGAATACTAGTAAAGACTATGGGGGCCGGGGAGATGGCTCAGTAGGATAAATGCTTCCCTGGCAAGCATAAGGGCCCAAGTTCAATCCCTGGTTCCGCAAAAAAAAAAAAAAAAAAAAAGACTATGTAGATATTAAAAAAAGGTAAGTCAGAACTCAAGAGTTTCTACTGCAATACTGCTTGGGATAGTAAAACTTCAGTCACATATCAAATTCATAGGAAAAATGAATATTAATAATGATACAATCATATTACATGATCCTGTATGGGCAGGGAGTATTCATCTCAATGTTTCTTTGATGAGCCAAGAAAAAAAAAGATTTTTTTTCCTGTATTTTAGAGGAGGGTCTACAGGATGTTCAGGGTCTCACTACTATATCGGACTAGTAGTGATCCACCTGTTTACCGCCTCCCAAGAGCTGGGATTACAGGTGCGCTCTACCACACCCAGTCTCAATTGCGCCCCGGGGGCGGGGCTGGCATGGCAGGCCCAGGGATCGAACCCCCAGTCCCTGTGTCTGCTTAAGCAGGCACTTTCATCTGCTGAGCTACTTGGCTGCCCCCCAAAAAAGATCTCAAAGATAATTTCTGTCTGAGAAAACTAAGTTGTAGAGTAATCCATTTAATATAGTCGCGCTTGAGTAACAACTCAATGAAAAGATATTTAAAACTATCGTTTATGGACAGAAATAATTTACATATAGAAATACTATATACAGAAACATTATCTAGGGGCTGGTGAGATGGCCCAGTGGTCTAAAGCACCTACTTAAAACAAGCTTAGCTAAAGCAAAGGGACCGCGGTTCAATCCCCCAGCACCACATGCCAGCCAACCCTGCCCCCTGGTGGGCTGAGCTGGCCACACACACACACACAC